GAACGCAGTCTTCACATCCATCTGTTCCAGTTCAAAGTCGAATTGGGCCACCGTGGCAAGCAAAATTCGAATGGATCTGTGTTTCACAATAAGAGAGACCACGTCATTAAAGTCGACACCTTCTTTCTGAGTGAACCCCCTAGCGACCAATCTTGCCTTGTATCTCTTTGACGTCACTCCTTCTATTCCTTCCTTAACTTTGAAAATCCATTTACAACTGACTAACCTGGATCCAATAGGTTTCTTGATCAGTTCCCAGGTGTTGTTATCATGAAGAGATTTCATTTTATCATCCATGGCTTTCAGTCATTCAGTCTTCTTTCGACTCCTCATAACTTCCTTATAGTCTCTATGTTCTTCGTCTAGAACCTCACTTGTAGAGATTAAGGCATAAGCTATGAGATCTAGGCTCGACCTGACTCTAGGCACCATAGCCCATAAGCTTTGACTCCTTCAGGGTATCCTATAAACATGCATTTCCGAGCTCTAGGCTCGAACTTGTCTTGCCTAATATGAGCATAGGCCACACAACCAAATACTCTCAGTCTGTCAGGACTAGGTGGATGTCCCGACTAAACTTCTTCAGGTGTCTTCATTCCCGAGGCAATCGAGGGGCATCTATTTATCAGATAAGCTGCTGTCAAAATAGCCTCCGTCTAAAACACATTCTTCAATCCAGCACTAACCAACATGCATCTAACCCTTTCAAGGATTATTCGATTGAATCTCTCAGCTAAGATCTTTTATTGAGGAGTACCTGCTACAGTCTTATGCCTTGCAATCCCATACTCAACACAGTAACTGTCGAACGCTTCATTGCAGAACTCAAGGCCATTGTCAGTTCTCAACCTCTTAACCTTTCTACCAGTTTGAGTTTCGACCAGAACCTTCCAACTTTTAAAATTCTAAAAAGTTTCATCCTTCATCTTCTGGATGAATACCCATAGCTTTCGGGAATAGTCATCAATGATGGATAGAAAATACCTTGCACCTGAGTGTGAAGGATTCCTTGTAGGGCCCCAAAGACCAGCATGAATGTAATCTAAAGATCCATGTGTTTTATGCTTGCCTTTGTTAAATTTCACCCTGCAGGATATACCAAATACACAAGATTCACAAAACTCCAAACTTTTCGACTTTATCACCTTCTAGCAGGTTCTGCTTCCCCAGTTCGACCAGATCACTTTCGCTGACATGGCTCAATCTCATGTGCCATAATTTTGTCTTTGACACAGGTTACGTGGATGCAACATTTGTCGAACCACTCACAACCTCAGCCTCAACGGTATACAAGCCTTGTTCCTTCTCGACTCTCAAGACTTTCTTCAACCCCTTCATGATTCTTAAGATACTTTTCTCTCCTTGAAAAAACATATCCCTTCTTGTCGAATTCACCAAGAGAAATCAAATTTCTCTTTAAATCAGGTAAATACTTGACTTCAGTTAATAACCTTATTGACTCATCACAGAGCTTGAATCTCACAGATCCAATACCTGCAATTTTGCAAGATTTGTTGTTTCCCAGCAGCACCGATCCACCATCTTGATCATATAGCTCCTCAAACAATTCTCTGTTTGGAGTCATGTGCCAAGTGCAACCTGAATCCATAATCCACTATTTTCTTAAGTCTCCACTTGAAACCACGAGAACATCAGATGAGTCAAAGTCATCTTGAATAATGGTTGCGCTGCCATTATCCTTACCTCCATGATCTTTTAGGCGTTCAGGGCACACCTTCCTTGTGTGACCCTCATTCTTACAATGATAACATCAAATACCAGATGTTTCGCCACTATAAGACTTCTGCTAACTTTTACCTTCTTGTTAAACTTACCATCCTTTCGCAAGAATTTTCCCTTAACGGTCAAACCTTCGCCCACCGTCGAAGGTTTATGCTCCTTTCGCTCGTTCAAGTCCTTAGAATACAAGGCTGATTGAAATTCTTCAAAGCTCGGAGACTCCTTTATATATAAGAGAGTTTCTTTGAAGTGAGCATGTATTCTGGACAAAGCACACAACAACAACAACAGTGCTTGATCTTCATCATCGATCTTCACATTAATATTTTCAAGATCAAGAATGAGCTTGTTGAACATATCCAACTCCTCAGCCGACACTTTGTCTGTATTCGTCTTGAATGAATACAAAGCTTGCTTCAGGTAGAGCCGATTCATTAGAGATTTAGTCTTGTACAAACTTTCAAGTTTCACCCATAATCTAGATGTTGTAGTCTCCTTTGATACCTGTCGAAGAACCTTATCACCAAGGCTCAACAATATTGCACCGTGGGCTTTCTCAATCACGCTCGTCTTTTCTTTTTCCATTAACGCAACGTCCATGGTTGCCTCTCCCTTCAATGCTTCTAAACAACCCTGCTGAAATAGTATGGCTTTCAAGCGCCACAGACCGAAGTTGTTCACTCCGGTGAACTTTTCAGTCTCATACTTTGTTGAAGGTATCTTCTCCATGCTCACCGCATCAATTTGTTAAGAATCAGGTGTCTTAAAACAAAATATAAACAATTTCTTTATGATCAAGAAACACACAAGAGTTAGGTTTAACAAATAAAACAAGATAAAAAAACAAGGAACAACAAGGATTGGTTATAAACTGTTATTCTTTCCTTTCTCTTAGAAACAAGATTACAAGTATACAAGAATAACAAAATAACCTCTCTCTCTTGAAATTAGAATTTTATCTTCCTATTTTTCCTTATTTCAAGATGAGAGACTAGCATTCTATTTATAAGAAAATTAGCACACTAACCTAATGAGCTTTTTAACAATTACCCATTATAAGTTAACTTAGGGTACAAACTAACTTAAACAATTGGGCTTACAAACAAGACCCAATTCAACATGCTAACAAACCTAGCAATATTGACTAATGCATGTTAGAACAAACTTCGACTACAACACGCATTATTCACGAACAGACTTCGACCATACTAGAGTTCGATCAAATATCTCACTGAAACATTTCAAGATGGCATGCTGTCATATTTCCATCTTCGACCTTAGTCGAAAACAACCATTCGTCCTTCAAACCAAGTTTCGACCAAAAAATTTTGTCAATTAAACACATTTTAAGTGTTCTCGACAATAATTCAAAAGCCTCAAACTGCAAATGTATCATTTGTCTCTCGAAACACACCTTGCATTAGCATGCAAATTAAATCACAATGATTAATCATTAAAGGCCTCTCAAAGGATAAAAGTTTTCAATTTCAATCTTTGCAAAGCTTTTCAAAATCATTTTGATAAGATTCTCCCATTCAATTGGTGTTCTCTTATATATATATATATATATATATATATATATATATATATATATATATATATATATATATATATATATATATATATATATATATATATATATATATATATATATATATATATATATATATATATATATATATATATATATATATATATATATATATATATATATATATATATATATATATATATATATATATATGGCTTAAAAACCATTTCATGTACGGTTTCTATTTCTCAAAAACCATATTTTATGCATATAAAATGTTGAATCACGCTAAACTTGAAATTTCACGTCGGGTTCACCAATTTGTTTACACCGATTTTTGATAGTGTAAACAATCATTATCCATCAATACTTTAGGATTGGATAAAAGTCCTTTTACAATATTCGTTCAAGTCTCGCGATTTATGATATCAGTTCTTATGCATTCTCTAAGAACAAAACCATTGTTTTTATTAGTGTCAGAATTAATTCCAACAACTTTTATAAAACAAGTCTCATGGCAACTTAAAAGAAATAAAATTCAAGTGAGCATTCAAAAGAAAGAAAAATAAAGGAAATGAAAAGAAATGTAGATTTGCAAAACTGAAAAGAAAAATAAAGCACAAACAAAACAATCTTAAATTGAAGAGAATGTAAAGCGTGGATGGAATCCATCTTTGTTCGTCCCTCAATCTGTTTGCCCTTGCGGCGTGGATGTTATAAAACTTTCAAAAAAATAGGATCCAAACTCTAAAATATAGTAATTACAATTATTTATAGAAAAAAGAAAATAACTTTTTACATCTAAAATTTTAACAAGTGTCTTATTTAATAAGTTTCTTAATCTAATATTGACACATGTCTTTTTGGATAACTACTTTTAATAACTTCTGATAACTTTCTTGTAGGAGTTGTTTGCTTGATGGACGCAATACATCAATATTCGACTCTTTGAATGACTTATTCGACTCTCTTTTTTGAGTCCCTTTTTAAATGTCTTATTACATGTCAGTTCTTGGTTGAAAGTAAAACTTTTAAAAACACCCTACTATCTATAATACCAAATTGAATTCATTCGACATCCATCAATCTGATACATATAATCTGGTTGATAGTCAAAATACAAAGACTCTAATTTTATATATTAACAACAATAAAATAAAATAACATAACATGCATCTCATACTGTTTTACTCCATTCAATTTCCTTTTATCAATTTAAACAATAAAATATAATATTATTCTATTTCATTTAACTTCATTTCATCATGTTTTATCCATTTAAATATTGGTTTGAGATGGCATAGAAAAATCCTCCACCATATTTACTTTTAAAAGATGTGAATGTTGTGCAATATATATAAATTTTATTTTTTTTAAATGAATGACATTCAACATTAATTGTTCTAACATAATTTAATTACAAAACATAAATGTTTTATACATGTTGGTGGGTAGGTGTTTTAATTGTGTTAGCATAACAAAGCTCATAATGTACCAAAGTGCTGCCAATATTTTGTACATGTGTATGTATAATCCACCAGCTGGAAACATCAAATAAAACCTTTGTCAGGTTGCCTCAATCTCCCCTTCCCCTTTATAAACAACAAACAAAACACTCTCACTCGCATCATCATATTCATATCACTCTACTCTATCTACAACTTCAAAAACCTTTCTTCTCTCTTCTCTCTATTTTAATTCTCAAAATTCTCAACTCAAACCCAACTAAATGACTTCTTGTTCTCCCATGTTGTTGTTGCTACTTCTCATTTCACATTCTTCATCTCAAATGCTACTATTACCCCTAACACACTCACTTTCCAAAACACAACAATTCAACACCACCCACCACCTCCTCAAATCCATCACCACTCGTTCTATGTCACGCTTCCACCGCCACAGACACCACCATCAACTCTCTCTCCCACTCTCTCCAGGTTCCGACTACACTCTCTCTTTCAACGTTGGTCCCTACTCTCAACCCATCACTCTCTACATGGACACCGGAAGCGACCTTGTTTGGTTCCCCTGCACCCCTTTTAACTGCATACTCTGTGAACTCAAACCCAACCCTTCTTCTTCATCTCCCCTCAACAACATCTCCCACAGCGTTCCCGTTTCATGCAGCTCTAAACAATGCTCTGCAGCACACAGTTCCATCTCTTCCTCCGATCTCTGCGCAATGGCTCGTTGCCCTTTAGATTACATTGAAACTAAAGACTGCGGCTCGTTTCACTGTCCACCGTTTTACTATGCATACGGAGACGGAAGCTTCATTGCTCGTCTCTATCGTGATACACTTTCTCTTTCCTCACTGCAACTCAGGAACTTCACATTCGGTTGTGCTCATACCACGTTTGCAGAACCTACCGGCGTTGCTGGGTTTGGTCGCGGCTTGCTCTCTCTCCCAGCTCAGTTAGCTAAGCATTCTCCTCAACTTGGAAACCGTTTCTCTTATTGTTTGGTTTCTCATTCATTTCGTCGTGAACGAGTTCGAAAACCGAGTCCACTCATACTGGGTCGTTACGAGGATGAAAAACAGAGGAATGGTGGTGAAGCTGTTGAGTTTGTTTATACTTCAATGCTTGAGAATCCAAAGCATCCTTATTTTTACAGTGTTGGTTTGAAAGGAATATCCGTCGGGGAAAAGACTGTTCCCGCGCCGAAGATTCTACGGAGGGTGAATAAGAGAGGTGACGGCGGTGTAGTTGTAGATTCCGGTACGACGTTTACGATGTTACCGGCAGGGTTTTATAACTCAGTGGCGGTGGAGTTCGACCGCCGTGTCAGGCGAGTTAACCCACGGGCCCGTGAGGTTGAGATGAAAACTGCGCTTTCGCCGTGTTACCATTTGAACGCGATGGCGGAAGTGCCGGCGTTGAAACTGCGTTTTGTTGGGGTGAATTCAAGTGTGGTGCTGCCTAGGAAGAATTACTTTTATGAGTTCTTGGACGGTGGAGATAGGTCGAAGAAGGGGAGAGTAGGTTGCTTGATGTTGATGAACGGTGGAGATGAATTTGAGGTGAGTGGTGGGCCCGGAGCAATCCTTGGGAATTATCAACAGCAGGGATTTGAAGTTGAGTATGATCTTGAAAAGAAGCGCGTGGGTTTCGCTAGGAGGAAGTGCGCGTCGCTTTGGGATAGACTCAATCGCGACAAAAACTAGCGTGTGTACATAGTTACCTGCACAGTGCAATTGGATTCATTCCCCAATTTCAGTCACGGGTCGGTTTAATCGGTAAACCGGAATAAAGCGGGTTATGGTTCATACACTGAATCTTGTATATATTTTATTTTATATAGTAAATTAGAATTTATGCTTGAATGTACTCCACCTGTGAGAAAAAATCTGTTTACGGTGCACTTCATCTTTTGTTATTATCAACTACTATGCTGCTACTGATGCATGTTAGAAATGGAGATGTTGTTTTACATTGGCGAGGTGGAAAAATCGTGGCACAATAGTATGAATTGTGGGGAATAAAACATGTACACAATCCAACGTAAGAAATAAAATTTCTAAGATGATGAGTTAAATTCTCTTAACTCTGTGGGCATCCCGAGGGAGTTAGGGTTGGAGAACTATAGCTACTGTATGATTTCGAACAGGATTAAAGATTCTTTGATGTTTTTGTTAATGTACTTGTTAATCTTAGTATGTTTGTCCTTCTATAAAAAAGGTGTTATGATATTTTTATTTTTGTTTTGGTATTCGGTCACCACCTACTAAGATCAATTATACCGTGCTTAACACAATAATTATTAACACTAAGTTAAATTTAAACACGATCCTTTGAGAGTAGCACATTTTTAATATTCAAGTTTTCACCAAGAGTACAACTTGTATGGGTAGGAACGATAATTAGCAAGGTAGGAGAGTATTATTCTATCACGTCATTTTTATGTGTCATTTTTTTTATATATTAAAAAAACTAATAATAATAATTAATTTTTTTTCCTATTTTACTCTTAATTTTCTATTAATTAATATAACTTTTTTTTCTCTATAATAAATAATTAGGGTAATTTTGATAAAACAATAATCATGCTATAAAATTTGAAATGACACTTAAGAAAGAATACTTTTTTTAAAAAGAGTAGTATTTATCTTCATATTTGTTGTAGGTTAAAAATATTCTCGTACCCGAACTTATTTCCACGTGAACAACAATATTTATACATGTAATTGTATTTTATAAATACCTAAATACTCATACTTGTAACACTTCAGTTTTTAATTTATTGAAATTATTTGATTATTATTTGATTTATTATGATTTTTGTGAATTTAATTAATTAGTGGATAATATTAATTAAATAAATAAGGATAATGGGGTGTATGACATTGATGTGAGAGTATGAAGAGTAATTAGAGGTTAGTAGAGTTTTATTAAATTATTAGAGTTATTTTAATAATTAAAATAATAGTATTTTATTAGATTTATTTAATTTAATAGATAGAAAATTGGAGTCAAAGTGTGATTTAGGAGGGGTGGAAGGGGGGAAGGAGTAAAAGGAATAAGAGTTTGGGTCAGAATTAAAATTACAATAAGATTTACCCTAATGATATAAATTAGAAGCATAATCTAACTCTAGAGAGTTTTTATCGGTATGTATATCAGAATTGGAGAATAGAGAGGAGGCTAGAGAAAGTGCAATGGAAAGCTTAGAACTTAGAGGGGACTAGAGAATCAAAAACCAAAATTTTTCACTACTGCTAAGATCACCATGTAAGGGGGAGAACTATCTCAATAATGAGTATATGCATGAGGAGTAGTGTCATACCATAATTTTTATCCCTAAGATTTCACCTATCTGTTTACCGTTAAAAACGACAAACAACCACTAGTCTTCCAAAGCTGCTAAGTCTTTGGTCACTTATAGAATCAATTAGATTGATCATGGGACATGTGTTGTTAATTTAGTTCTTGATCTTAATGGTTATGAACATTTATATAATGTTCTTCAAGTATTCTCAAAAGTTATTAAGTTTCAACATTGTGATTTCTTTTAAGTAAGAAAATGAGTGTAAATTGCATACAGATAAATTAAAAGATAAATGGCTTGAAAGATAAATAACAAGGAAGAAAGTTGCAAGTAAAGGTAATGACTGGAATTTAAATGGCTTTAATTGTAAACAGAATGTATTCAAACGTACATTCTCTCAAAAGCACTCTTTTCTCACACACACAGAGAGGTACTTGGAGTATAATGTAGAGTTTTGCATAATTTTTGAACACCCCAATTCTGAATGCTGAAGGTCTTATTTATACTAAATAAAAAATAACTGTCATCTAATGGTTATTTCGTCAGAATGCGCCACGTTCTCCACTACATGCACTTCGTCGCCTAAAAATATTCCATGTATCCCACGAAACGGATAAGGCCAATAAGTGGTTACCAACCTCATTTGAACTCCATCCGTAAAATGCTTCATCCAATAGACTTCGTTGAACTCTAATTTATGCAAAAACCTTTCTAAGTCCTAAATCACAACATTTCCTATGTTAAGACTTCTTCGACTAGATCTTCAACATTTCCATGTCGAAGCGTACATTGTTCCTCAAAATAAATCTTTAAACTTCAACAGCTCATTCCAACTCTTTACTACCATCGAAACATCTTCGTTAATATTTGTTGTCGAAGCCATCATGCTCTTCTTCAGAATATGACCTTGAAACCTCTAAAATTACCTCCAACATTAATGAGTGTCAAAATCCTAACCAACAAATTGCCCCCCAAAAATGTCATTTTCGATTGCAAAGAGAAAAGGACATTTTTTGAAGCTTTTTCGACACTACTGTATTGTTGCTGCTATGACATCATAACCATCATGACCACACCGTTTCAATGGTCTAATCAAAAAGTGTAGGAATCCCAAAAGGCAATCATCACTCCCCTAATTACTAGGAAGTAGTGGGCTAATATCTACAACTGTCCTTTCAAACCATAATGGGTCAACATGTGCCCCATTATCCCAACCACTACTCATGATGGTAAAAATGAAGTGTTTCACCTTTCCTCTATAAAGATGCTATTTCATTTCTTTTTCACTTTTTCACCTTTCTGAGCTTTCCTTTCCCCTTTCCAAGCGTAAGAACAATTGTTTATCTTCTCACCACTACACTCAACAAACTCAAAATACTCTCAACTTTAATCATCAATGGCGTCCCAGAAATCGCCAGCTCTTGCTAAAGATGCTAAGAGGCAACTAGTTCTCCGTCCTACCCACACAATCGTCAGCCCTTAAGTTGTAGGTAATCAATAATATGTTCCAGAACCTCCCCTTGAGGAAGAAAAAAGACGAATCTATCAATCTCAGGTACTAATTCCAATTTTTGTTTATGGAAAAGTATATGCTCTTCCTGGTCCATTATCAGATGTTGACACAGGTCCTGTAAAACTTAGGAAATTCTTACCAACTTATCATAAGTATAGACCCATGGCAAGTAGGAAAAAACCCATACCTGCAACTGGAACCAAAACCCCTGAACCACAAAAGGAAACTGAAACCCAAGTAACATCTTCGACTGAGCCTGAAGAAAACACTATTAGTCTGGACTAAATGAGCACTGCTCTTAGAACATTTCACTCTTGCCCTTTATCAAAAGATCCTGAGAACTATCCAACTTGGATGGCAAAAATAGAAAAGAAGAAAGTTAAATTTTGGAAAGAAATGGAAATTTTCTACATGATCTAATTGTCAAAGTATGGACCTGGATACTGCTAACCTATGTTGCTCACCTCTGTGTACTTCTGAGACAACACTCACAACAACTTTCACTTCCTTTGTGGAATGCTAACTCCCACTCTTTTTGATGTAGCTGTCATCACTAGTCTTCGACCCACAAAAGATCCTTTTGATACAATCCTAATGACAGAAGACACTGTTGGCTTCGACGAGAATCGAGCCACATTCACCAACTACATATCTGACCACTGTTGCACCCCAAATTTTGACCAACCGATTCTCGTGTTTGGCTTGTGTTTTGTTTTCATTTTGCATTCCATATTGCATAGCATTGGTTCTCGAGGCAGGGGATCAAGGTTCTCGTGGCTCAGGTTTCGTTCCCGTCCAAGCAACTGAGCAGCGACCGTCAGAAGAAACGACATTCATTTTGCCCAGCGGGCGAGTGACCAATTTTATTTTGCAGGTTATGCTCAAATCAGGAGACAATATTCAGTTTATATCCAGCATTATCACAGTCACAGTATTCAAGAGCAAGTGTCAAAAGCTTAGCAGAGCTCAAAATGGCGAGAAACAGGCAAACGAGCAGGTTTCCCTCCAAAAGGCGCCAAATTCAAATTTTTGAAGGTGTTAATCGGTTAACACATATGGTTAACCGATTAACCATTAGAGAATCAGCTCAGATTTGAAAATTTAATAGTGTTAACCGGTTAACGGTTATGATTAACCGGTTAACCATTGCAGATTTTGCCCTGTACGTGATTTTGCAAGCCATTTGCACTTGGGGCTCAATTTTGATCACATTGAAACTCATTTTTACCAAAAAAAGAAGGATCTAGAATGTTCTTGAAAGTTGGTTATTTCAATTTTCCCTCCAAATTCCCATGCCTAGCTCCAAACCAACTTTCCAATCCAAAGTCCAAACCCCACCTTTGGGATCCAAACCTAAATGGTATTTAAGTGATCTACTACAAACCAAAGGGAGTCAATTTTCATTTCTCACATTCATTTTTCAGAATTGATCAAGAACTCTCTCAAATTCTCTCAATTCCCTCCATTTCCAAAACTCACTCAAAGCTCTTTTCATTAGGATTCATTAATTTTTCATTGAAGTCAATGGATTCTCGAGCATAAACCTTCATCTATCCTCATCTTTGGATCAATTTTCATCATCAATTTTCGTGCAAATTGAGATTTGATTTTGGAGCTTGAGTTGAAAGTGATTATTCGAAGCGTTTCGACTCGAATTTAGTGGATCTTCGTTCGTACAACCACAATTGGCTTGGATCTTGAAGTTTTCCGGGTTTTTATCGTTTGAACTACTCAAATTCAGTTGATCAACACTAACCGAAGCAAATCTCCGCTTCGAAGGTTGGAGATTCTAGATCATAATTGTTTTTGAGCTTATTTGCATTTCTATGATGATTTTCATATTCGATTGAATTTTGGTGGATTCCGATCCGTGTGAATTGCGATTG